TTCATGGCGTGAGATTGTCTGGATACTCTAACATATGTCATTCGTGGAAAGCCAATATAGCCAAGGAATGAAAAACGCTAGAAGTGTTAACTAAGAGCTTCAAAAAGATTACAACGCAGTGAGGAGATAAAACAAACATGGCTGCCTTTCAATAAAATACAGATACGCAATTCATTACAACCTAAATAAAGTACAACCCGAGGAAACCAAACTTTTATTTTGTGTTAAAAACAACGACATACATGCCTTCTGCTTCTGTTTCTCTGCAGGCGATATCATTTAGTGTTGGCTTCCAACTAGCCTAGATACTTTTCTATTATCTTCAAATAGGGGACCATCAAATACCAACCATAAATACCGAAAAATAGAAAATGTCGCAAGACAAGGGTGTGTCTTCTCGCCGGACTTATTCAAGGTTTACAATGAAGCTATCCTGAGAAAATTAGAACACCTTCCAGGATTCAATATTGACGGCCACAACTTTAACAACATTAGATATGCAGATTTCACAGTGTTGATAGCAGACACAGAAATTACAAATCTCATTTTGTGACTCAAACGAACACTCGTCGTCACTTCCGTAATGTTCGTTGTAGTAGAGACTTTGTAATCGCAGACGCAACTTATAGTAACGCTATTGAACAATACTGGTGTCAGACGCCTTTGAATAACATTCACACTAATAGTACTTGCGCGATAATACTCGCTTGAATAGTAATCCATATAGAGAAATATTATAGAGGATAAAGCAGAGAATAGCGGTCCGTATAGCAATAGAGGAGAAATAGAGATCTGTATAGTAATAGAGGATAGACTAGAAATGGCGATCCTCTAGGCGTCACGTGACTTCCTATACATGCATTTCCTCTATGGTCGCGTGATCCATTTTATTCAATAATGGGATCGCCTGTGTTTGCTCACTGGCGATCTATGTTCAAACTCAAGTGTCGTCAGCGACACTTTATTCTTATATAACGCTTCTACAGAAGGTAGCAAAAGAAAGCGAGAAGAAAGGACTAAGCATCAACTGTAAGTACACAGAAAGTTATGGTGGTCAGCAAAAGAAATGCTCAACAAGTAAATTATAAATTGTAGAAATCGAAATTAAACAAGGGCAAAAATTTAAATATCTGGGAAATGTTTTAATGGACGGAAAATGTGATCGCGAAATGCGAAGGCGTATTGGGTTAGCGAAACATGCCTTCCAAAAGCTAAGTAGAGTATTAAGAAACTGTCATTGAAAACAGTGAAAAGTGTACTGAACTGTTATGTAATATCAGTCCTCTACTATGGCAGTAAATGCTAGACAATAAATCACAGAATAAATTGAGACTTGAGGCAACAGAAATGTGGTTCTACATATTGATTTTGAGAATACCATGAACTGAACACGTCAACAACAACGAAGTTTTAGAGAAAATGGAAACAAAAATACATTTCTACGTAGCTTCAGACCGTTGAAATCTAATAGAAACATTTTTTTTTCATTTTTCTATAATATATGTTGAAACATGGGCAAAGGGAGGTTTTAATAACTGTTGAAAAACAAAATAAATTTATTGAGTGAAAGAATATTCAAATCGGAGATATGAAAGGAACATTGCAGAGTTCATCGAACTATAAAGAAGGCTGTTGAAATTATAAGTTGAAAAGGTCGAAGCAAAGGAATAAGGCTTTAACAACTTGCTTTCTTGAGATGAATGTAAACTAAAGCGAGTTATAGTGAAACAACCATTTTTCACCAGTGCCGGGATCTTTGAAAAGGCTGGAATTGAGGGAGTCAAGAAGTACAAAAAGTGTAGAATACTTTGTGAATTGGGATCTGTAAAAGATCTCTTAGGCAAACTCCTCTCACTAAAGCAAATATTTTAAAGCGTCAAAATTAGGTCAAGAAATAAATGAAAATTGACTTTTCTAAAGTAATTTTCGCCGACAATGTCAAGTGATATTTGATGGCCCTGATGAATGAGCCAAAGGATAGATTTTATTCAATTCAGATGTGCCTGTGGCTAAATGAAGGCACCAAGGAGGCGGTAGTGTTATGATATGGACTTAAATTGTCGACCAAACCATGATTGCACCATTTAAAATCGATGAAGTAAATAAACTGAACAGTGCTAACTATTATGATTTTATAAGCGAGACTTTTTTTTTGCATGATACAAGTCTTGTACTTTCAAAGTGAAGTGTGTATTTATGCACGACAATGCACGTTCTCGTGTATATAAGCTTACGCGTGAATTATTTGAGCAGAAAAAATTTTACAAGAGAGAAGCTAATGGAATGGCCGCCATCAAGTCCTGATCTGAATCCAATGGAAAATCTATGGTCAATTTTGTAAAGGAAATTATATGAAGGCATATAAGAGCTAAGCAGACCTATGGGAAGCAATTAAAACTACCATGTCGGAAATTGAACCTGCTGAAGTAAAAAAATCAAAAAATCAATGGATAATAGATTTCTGACTGTTATTGAGAAGAAGGTTATATTAAATGATTCATAGACGTATTATGTTTTGACTATTGGTTTTATTATTGGTATTGATCGATCTTTGATGATTTTATTACTTCTTTTTGATTATTTGGTTTTGTCTAACAATTCAGACGGTCGTTTTTAGAATACGTCAAATGACTTCAAAAACTTCAATAACACATATTGACAGCACCTAAATTTGACATCTAAATCGATTGTTTAAAATTTGACAATTTTCTTTCAAACCAAATTTGAATTATTGAAGTTTATATGATTTGCTTAACATCTCCATCAATCATATAAACTTCTATATCGAAATTTAAATAATTTGTGCATAATTTTATACTTTCAGGGTAGTTTATAGATCAGAAAATTTATTGCTGATAATTTCACAAAAAAATGTAACGCCTTGATAAAAAAAATGTATTGATTGTATTTTTATACTTTTTTACTGTTGTATTGATTGTAATTTTGCTATAAAAATAACCAGTTGATTTTTTTTTTTTTTGAGTGGGGGGGGGCACTATTTGCCCATAGCTGGAAGCCTAACAGGGGCTACCACTCTGGGTCATGGTTGTCCTGGGAACAACGGCAATTAAGAGTTAGTTCCATGCTTCTCAAAACCGCCAATTTTCTTGCTGACGGGTGTAATTTATCATCATACCCACGACAATCACCGTGTCTCATAAGTTCTAAGATGCCTAACGACAGTTTTACCTGTGTCATCGATTTCGAACTCGAAGGATTATAATCAAAAATAAAAATGCTTGTAAAATCCTTACAAATACACAAGTTTATAAAGTTTTAAATGAAACGAATGAATATTTCAACAATCAACGACTTCAAAAATGGTGCCAAATGCTAAACTGAGGCAAGCGTCTTCAGCGACGTTTTTGTAAAATGTTTGTGAAATATTAGAAGTGCTTTTAAAATCGAATCATTTCTTGTATACTCCGTCAGTTCTAATATGTTGTGTTATGAATAATCAAGAGTGGTCCCCCTTATTTTTCTTACTCTCCTCCTTCAGAGAGTTATTTCTGTTTACTGGGACTGTAAAAGGACACTATACGCGTATCTTGTATTCTCAGTTGAATAAAGCTTTCTTAAAGCCTACACTTGCGTACTTTTGGCATTATATGCCATTTACAAACCTTAGGAAATATCAAACATCAGTATCAATTTTTTTAAAGACTTGTTTTTATTGTCTAAATTCTTACAAGTTACTGGCGTACAAAAATGGATTTATTAAGATAATCTAAATGCTGAAGAGCTATGAGAAACTGAGGATAGATTTTAACATCTAAAAAAGTTCTTTTTTTTCTGTTTGGTGGCATTGAATTTGATTGTTTAATGTGAATTCTTGAAACCTGAACCAACTGCTAAAGAGAAACAGAATTGTGAAGAACTTATTAGTTTGTATGACGCATTAAAAGAGAGAGTGACTACCAATGCTATTTTGTCAGAGAACAACGCCTGTTCTTATGTTACAAATTTGACAAACAATAATGGAACACGGTATAAAGTTCTTCCACTCGAAATCTATTCTCCAAATCTTTTAACTTTGGCGCAATCCTTTCTTTCCTTCTATACAACAAATCCTGATTAACGATTCGAACCTTTTGAAAATATCAAAAGATTTCTAAAAGAAACCACCAAAATAGACTGAATCCACAATATTATCGGTGTTTTATGGTGAAATTTACAAATTTTACTCTTATGCAAACTCATACCCAGGATAAATACTAACGACTGAATAATAATGTTAGGAATTTGTAAAAGCAAATATTTTCTAAAACAATGCTGGGACCTCTTACAACATCCTAATATGTTACGGCACGCAATTAAGCTGGAATATGGTAAAAGGTCATAGAATCTCAGGAGGAATACATTGATAACTGTGTAATAATGAATTTATATTGGAGAAATTGCAAGGTCCTTCAGGACTTCATCGGACTGAAGGACGAAACGCTTCACAAGTAAAATGTTTCCACTTTGTCATACGATTACCCTAATACTGTTCTTGATATATTAAAAACATATATTGTTATCTCATAAATTTATATAAAAAAAGATTTTATAAAAAAAATTGCTGGAGCCTCTTGTAGCATCCCAACATAGAGAAATACACATGCATTAAAAACTGTATAAATTTAATTCAAAGGTTTTTCTGAGTGAATGATGACGCTATGAATTTTATGAATTAATGACTAAAAAAAAAAATGGAAATTTTTGCATCAACTTACAATTTAAAAACGAAAATTAGTAGAATTTTGCCAACAGACTTTTAGAATTAATTTACCAATTTTACAAGCATTTTATTGACTAGCATTTCTTTATTATCAAGTTTCTCTTTGACTGAAAATGAGAATTTTCATTTTTCTCTCTTCAGATTTTTCCATTAAACGAACGATGCACTGAGTAAAGCGATCACATTTTTTTGTCTTTTCTTTTGCTACGACTTCGTCTTTCACTTTTCTTCCCATTAGATACTCTTCTTTTTATTTCTTAATCTTTTACTTCCTTTTTAGAAAAAAAAATCCGCTTTTTTTCTTATTCTTTTATTACATTTTTTCTCTTTTTACTGCTTGTATTTTCAACTTTCTTTCTTTCTTTCTTTCTTTCTTTCTTTCTTTCTTTCTTTCTTTCTTGCTTGCTTTCCTTCTTTCTTTCTTTCTTTCTACTCTAAATTCACTTCTTTTTTTCACTACATTCCTATTTTTTTCTTCAGTTTTTCTCTTCTTCTTACTATACAAACTTTTCTATTTTATGTTCCCCTCACATCGTTCTTACATGCTTCTTTTTCCTCCCCCTTTCATAACCTTCTTTTCCTCTTTTCTTTCTCACTTGCCCTCCTCCCACATTTAAACAATTCACTTTTTTATTTGTCTTCCACTTCGTCTTTTTCCCTGTTTATCTGCCACTTCATTCTGTCACTGATTCCCCAGGGTCTCTGTAATTGCTAATATGATTGTGTTTGCTACTCGACAGACTGATCGATCGACCGATCACTATTACTCCTATTTGTCGGTGACAAGGCAACACTAAATCGGAAATGAATCATCATTCGTAAGTGGCAACACTGATGATTGTCTGCTGCACCAGAATATTGCACAGAGCATGCGCACACAACAGCCATTTACAATCTTTATAAGACTCCTACTTTGGCCGTACCGCCCCACCCCCTAAAAAAATACGACAGCATTTCAATAATTTTGCAATTATATTTGTTACATTTGTCCGTATGAATAATCTAATATTTTAATCTGTAAAATGAAATCTTTTGTCGCATGTAAGAAAGGATTCTGATATTTAATATATATATATATATATATATATATATATATATATATATATATATATATATATATATATTATATTTTTTATCATATAGACAAAACCATTTTACTCATTATCTAACCATAACCATTTTCGATTCTCACCCGTCGAAGTGCAGTTGAAATGCACTGAAACGAAGTTGCATCTTTGTAGTCAGTAAAATGGTTTTGTCTATATGATAAAATTATAAATAAATAATTATCGCTCTACTATCGGTATCGAGCCATCTTTTGGATTAATGCTGTGAGCGTTTGAATTTATATATTACTTTCGTTCTCATCGCATAATATATATATATATATATATATATATATATATATATATATATATATATATTTTGTGTGCAAAAATATAAAACAAATAGGAGAGAACACGTTAGGTTAATAATCGGAAGTTCTTTAGTATTAAAAAAAAACAGTGCTCAATACATAAGTAGAGTATATATATATATATATATATATATATATATATATATATATTATATATATATGCAATATATCTTCATTTATGCATGTCTGGCTGAATAATTTAGACATTATGCCTATTTGTTTTAATCCTTTCAGATTCACGGATCAATTTCTCAATGTTGCCATTAAACACATCGAGGAAGGTTCCGTAGTTTTTCTCATTCGTTTTATTTTCCCAAGTACTTTCAATCTCATCCAATAGCATCATCAAGAAGTGAATTGCCTTCCTTAATATGTTTAATGGCAACATTAAGATATTGATCCGCCAAAACCAAAAAAAAATGATTCAACATGATGGCCTACATCAATTGCCTGAAGGACGTAGTGCTACCCTGGGTCAAGAGGGTGTCTGCTGGAAGAAGTGATGCCTAGCAACAGGACTCTGTACGATGGTGCACAAACAGGAGAGCACAGTCATGGCTTTCAGACAATTTTTGTGACCACATCACCCCTTTCATCAGGCCACCATATTCCGCAGACGACAACCCGCCTTGATTATTACGTGAGGGGTGCAGTTGAGAGAAAGACCAACAAAACTTTTTGTCACACCAAAGATGAACTGAAGTCAAAGATTATGGCAGAATTCACCAACTTAAACAAGAAGACCGCCTAGAAAAGTTGCAGGTGATTTCGAAGTCGCCTGGAGATAGTGTTTGAAACCAGAGGCGATTTTATTAAATTTACTCTTTATTTAATGATATTTTTTGTGCAATTTTTGTAAATATATCTGTTAAAATGAGATTTCAGTGTTATTTTTCGTTTTGGTGTCATTTAGACGACAATTTATCCATCGCCCCCTCTATATAATATTCTGGCAGTTTCTACACACTTACAGAAAAAGTCACTTAAAGGAAAAATCTAAGAAAAAGCTTAATCGTAGTACCTTGTTATTCGTCTTTTCAATGAAAGTTACACATACACACACACACACACACAGATATATATATATATATATATATATATATATATATGTGTGTGTGTGTGTGTGTGTGTGTGTGTGTGTGTGTGTGTGTTGCATATTTCAGCATTTAACTTTCTTCTATACCAAACTTTCAGCACCAACCTTTCTTCTATACATCTTTGATTGAATGTGACAGACAAGGAAAGCGTTAAAAGTTTTTAAGATTTTTTCAACCTTTTTTTTCAGTTTTCATTTGTGGTGGCTAAGGGTGTTTAAAAATGTTTGTAATGATTATTGTCCCCGGCGACTTTAGCCATTTTCAGGGGGTTTCTAAATATGTTTTCTAACTTTATCTCCGAAGTTCTATAGCGTGGAAGTAATAAAATTGTAAACTGCCATTGTGATTCCATGAGGAGAAAGATAGCCAACACGTTACTCCCAACCTCAAATACGATAAGGCCGATACTTGGCTTAAAATGTTTTATATAAAGAGTTTCAATTATCTTAAGACGTCTTCCACAATTAGATTTCTTCAGAATGATGGTGTTATGAGCAAGAAGTTTTCTAATAGGGGCAGGCAGTTGTGTGTGGGTCCGAGATGCTTTTATGGCACTGACATCACTTAAGTGATTTGTCATCTCGACTGTCGCCGGCATATATCAAATATAAACGTTCTGTTTATAACAGGAAACGATGTCTTGTACTTCGAAATTAATATGCTACGTTAGTAGTTGAACTGATATATATATATATATATATATATATATACAAAACATAAGTGATATAAACAAAATTTTACCTATTACACCTATTAAAAAAATAAATAAAATAAGAAACAAAAAATAAAAAATAAATAAAAAACAAGCAAAATAATTTAACCATAGAATACCCACAATGCACCACTGACCCGTATATATATAAATAGCCGAGAAAAATAACAGCACACTTGGCCTGACGATTGCATATAGCATGAAACAGACTGTCGTCTCTAAGTGTTGAATTCTATGTTCACTTTTATATATATATATATTTATATATATATATATATATATTTTGCATATGTATGTGTATATTTACCACTAATATTATCTATCTATCTATCTATCTATCTATCTATCTATATATATATATATATATATATATATATATATATATATATATATATATATATATATATATATATATATATATATATATATATATATATATATTATTTCCGTCTGATGATTAGCACCTGAAACTTTAGTATTATTGAATTAATAAAATTATTATATTCCAGCTGTCACGGCATTGAGTTTATTTTACATTTTTGGCTTTTAGATTATTTAAAGCTTTAGTTTCGTTGATCATGTTTAGCGGCATATCAACACTTCTATGAGTCATTTAATGTAGATATATTAATATTTTGAACGCAATTTTATGGCTTCAACTACACAGAAATTGTTTTATCGGCCATTTTGTTTTAGATACACATCGTTGGTAAATTTACTATAAAAATGTATTTTTAGACATTTATAGTGTTTTATGAGGGGGTTCACTATTTGCCCATAGCAACAGACCCCAAAAGGCGTTACCACGCCGGGTCAGTCTTAACAACCTGGTATCAGCAGCAATTAAGAGGTGGTTCCCGGCTCCTCAACCCCCACCCAATATCCCGATCAAGGTCTTTCTGCTGGATATAGTATATCATCATACCTAAGACTAATTTTAAACTTTAGCTTTTATTGCTGGACACATGGCACAGTGGATAAAGGCGTTGGTTAGATCCAGTGACAGACCCAAAGAAGGTGAGTTCAATTCCTGGTTAAGGCAGTGGAGAACTTTCAGAGGGAAAATTAGCAGGAGATAACTGATAACTGACATCCATCAAACATGGCACGTGGAATTAGAACAGTCTATCCCAGTGATCGAAATAAAGGGTTCAGTTCGAAATTCCAACCACCTGAAGAAGGCCGGAGCGTACAACGGCCGAAACGTTGTGACAAATATGGCGACAAAGATGAGGACAATAGTCCGACTAATGTAAATACTCTCATAAAAATATCTATAAGAACACCGGATTATAAATCTTACTGTTCTTTCTTTATATATATGTATATATATATATATATATGCGTGTGTGTGTGTGTATGTGCCTGTGCGTGTGTGTGACGGGATAAATTACTCGTTTGTTCATTTTTTACGGACCAATAGAAAAATTTCCTCGCAGATGAAGAAGGGAGCTGAAGCGATAGAAATTTTTTTTTTTTTTTTTCCGACGAATACTGAGAGAATAACTGAAGCGGGATATTCTCAAGAAAGGCTGAAGCAATAAAGAAACTTATACCTCTAATCAGACAGAGACAACAATTTTTAGGAGACATGATGAGGAAAAGGGCTAAGAGAATTTAACACACGCATGGTATTCTGAATCAGAGAAATAGTGCGGGAAACTTTCCACACGAATTTCTCTAAATGGATGACTGAGCAGAGATAAGGTGTTTCATGTTTATTCGTTTTATTAGCGGCATATCAACATCCTTATGGGTCATTTAATGCCGAAATTCAGTTTTCTTCGGAGTATTAGTAATTGCTTTCACAAAAATGTATTGCTGGTATTTTTTTCTTACAGAAGCATATTGCTGGTAATTATTTTTTATTTTATTTTTGTTTTGCAAAAGCATATTGCTTGTATTGTTACTTTTTATACATTCTTAGTCATTTGATCCCAGTGTGGTGGTTGCTATTTGCCCATAGACGGACTCTAACATGTGCAATCACTATCGGTCTGGGGTGGCCTGCGAAAAAAGAGGTGGTTCCAAGCTTCTCAAAACCTCTTGATCAGAGGCCTTAGGAAAGATGGAAAATTGATAAAATGGCTCTCAAGGCAACAAAATACAGGAAGTCGAGGAGAGCATCGATCACGCTATCAAAACAGCTTATCTTCCGTATATCTTCCGAAGTCTAATAGACTCTCAGTGTTCGACAATATTTTGAGTCGGATTTTATATTCTATTCAAGATGATCGCATATTCTTGCTTTTTCGTCTTTTGTTTTGGATCAGAGTCTCGTCCAAAATCTAATTTACTCAATGTTAACAAGATACGGCAATATTCCGAACGTAATTCGATCTTTAAATGAAGAATATATAAAGTAGACATTCTTGTCGTTAGTTGCTATTTTTTTGTCTATATTTCTGAGATGAGGTATTATGTACACTATTTACATTATTCGGACTATTGTCCTCATCTTTGACACCATATTTGTTA